GTTTGGCATGATTAAAATGAATGAATGAAATAAATACCCCCTAAAACACAGTTAAGTGATGGGGTCTGCTGAGGTAGATAAGACTGTCCCCCTACCCCAACAAAAGGGAAACTAGAAGGAGAGATAGACCTCCAGAATTCCCTCAGTATTGAGTATGTGGATCCGGTGTCCAAGAGAAAGTAATGGGCCATCCTGACACCGTGATGCTTACCCATGAATCCTGTTACAGATTACAGTTGTGGTTGGGTCAAAGGAGCGCAGGCAGCCTCACTCGTCCATGGCCAGACCTAGGTCAACTTGGGAATTTTCTGGGTTTGATGTCTCCATTCCACTATGTGCATGAGGACAATCAGCTGCCAAATATCCTTCCCTATGGCATCTTGGACAAGGTCTTGAGGGACCAAGATGAGGATTAGGGCATGCTCAGGCCCAGTGACCAGTTCTACCACATTTGATCATGGGGCTAGTGGTTCTCAAAGCTGGGCGCAAGGGAGCAGCATGGACAGCACAGATTGAGCAGTATGAGGGCCATTGGGCTTTGTCAATACTCACATGGTACACCATAAGAGCCAACTCTAAGACATCTGTCTGTGGGCACAAAGGGCCTTTCTCCAAATGTCTAAGTTTATCCTTAATGTCAAGGTAGCACTGAGAAAAAAAAATGAGTCATGAGTCTGCCTTCTGTGGTTTCTGGATCTAAGTTAGTATATTGTAACAGGGCTTTAGTGAGGCATTCCAAAAATGCAGAAGGATTTTCCTTCATATCTTGAATGACCTCTGAGAGCTTATTATAGTTTACATGATCGAGGGGAGCTTTGCAGAGACCTTCCAGGAGGCAAGTCAAAAACCAGGCCCTAGCTAAAATCCCACCTGAAGTGCTATAGTCCCAGTGAGGTCCCTGCTACCACCTCTGTTGTCGGGTAGTATGTTGCATGTGTTTGGTAAATCTCATCTGTATGTAGTCTGGCTTGCTCTCAAACTCACCTGCACTCTCCAGGAAGTAGGCTATTACATAGGATGATATAGGTATCATAAAAAGTGAGATTATAAGACTGGGTAATATATTGGAATTGTTTTATGAAAGTGGTAGAATTGGTCAATGGGCCCAAGTCACAGCACCAATGAAATCACCTGGCACAAGTGAGAAGAAAACATGGAACATGGAACAAACTCACTTAGGAGATTATTAGAGGGGGCCTGGAAAATCAGTGTGCAGAGAGAGAGAGAGGAGGATGGAGCATCCAGCTTTTAAAAGCTGCCTAGCACACATGCGCAGGGGATTGACATAGCTATGTCATAAACAGATGACAGGGCTCATGCATGTGTGCAAGGGCTTAGCTGAGTCATATGTGGATGATGAATCCACGCATGCACCTAAGAGCTTGGCTGAATCATATGTGGATTACACAGGGCCCTTTAACATCCCTGGGGAGGGGGCATTAGGCACTTCTGCCTAAGGGCTTCTCTGCACATACATAACCCCTAGAACCTGGAAATATCAGCCTTATGTGGCTGAAATTATTACATTACTACTATAATTTCAAAGGTTAAGCAATTTTCAAAAATATACAAATAATTACACCTTGACATACTTTCTTGCTATTTATTTTTTCCTAGTGAGAGAGGAAGAAAGGTTCATTCATCCAGGAAACGGCATTCATAAAATTAAAAGAAAATTGTTTTTAAATTCTACTTTGTAAATAACTGTGATTACTAGGGTTACAGATGGAATTCAGGCACACATATCAAGAAAATGTTCAACCCAGTGTGGCGGCATGAAGTGGCCAAAAATCAGAGAGTTTGGGAATTGTTTTTAGTTTATTCAAGATTATCGTGATTCTAACTCAAGCAAAGGTCCCATCTATATGTGAATCAAAGTTGTTCTCTCTCAACACTGTCATCAACAGGTGTGGCTTGTTGCCAGATCTCATGCTCTTGAAATAGAGAAGTAGTTCATTTCTACCTAAATCAAAAGTCCAAGAATCCAACTAAGTTCAGTTCCCTTTATGAAAATAACTTTTGATTCCAACCCAGGGAGTGGTTTGCCTACAGAGTTCTAGGGCATGCGTCAAAGGCATGAGTGATGAAGGTACCTCATGACTTTCAATTTGTACATTAATGCAGTACTTTTGTTCTTCTACCTTTTGAAATCAGGGGTATATTAAGCTGGTCTGAAAATAAAACATGGGCGAATTTTCAGTGCTCACTGAAAAATTCCCTCCTGATACTATCCTATATGTTTCTGCATTTTATTATTTTCATTCATGGCTTTTGATTCTTTACTATCTTTCCAAAATCCCATGCCCTCCACTCTGGAAGAAATGTATTTTTGTTGAGGCTGGTCTCTGGCAACTGAGCAATGGCAATTACTTGGGGTGCCTGAAGCACAAGATTTTCTCTGCCATGACAGCCAGAATTTCCACTGATCAGACCCAAATACCACAATAATCATTTCTATGTTAATAAATAATTGATTTTAAGAAGGCTTTTTAAAGATTTAAGTTCATGAGATTATTTGATGATGTAAGTGAATGAAACACCACTAGTCCAAGAAACACCCTCTCCAAAGCAAACACTTTAATTTACAGAAAATGGATTCACAACAGAGAAAATGCACTAAGTTCCATTTTATATGCAAAGACCGTGGTGGCAGAATGAATGCAATGAAAGTCCATTTATTCACTTATTATTTAGGTCATCTCAAACTGAGAAACACTGTCTGATTCTTGGTATAATTTGATGTCAAATGAAGTGAGGATTCCAGTAAACTGGTCACAGTTGTGGACAAACTACTACTACTATTTTCTAATGATAATATTTTTGTCACAAATATATGATCCCATCAAATACTCATTTTTGCAAAAACCCTGTGTGTAAGGACTTATATCAGCTCTGGTTTCCTGTGATTGACAAAAACACAGAACAAAAACAGAACAGATTTTACACAGTCAATGGAGTGAGAGGGAGAACTCAAACCAAGGTATAGAATTCAAAAGCCTGTTGTAACTTGGGAGTTTTCCATCAAAGCAGTTATATGGTTTCTCTTTCATATCCCTATCTTTTGCAGCAGAAGCAGGAAAATTGAAAGAAAAAAATTAAGGATAAAATGTCATTTAACCTGGGCTCTAGCTACATTTGACAATAGGCAAAACTAGCCAGTGGCACCTGGAATAGGAACATATCAGGGTTTTTGGACCTAGAAATTGGCTACTGACCATAAATCATCCATTTTGTTTTGTTTCATTCTGATTGGTGCTGATACACTAAACTTTGCCTGTCAGTTACCCCATGTGTTTTGATTAAATGCATTAACCATCACCCTGTATTAAAACTTCATGAATATTAGAGTGTCATACCAATAGCTGCTTGCATTAAAGACATAAATGTTGCTGTCAAGCCAAACTTAGCCAAAATACCCAGTAATAAAGGAATGTCCTAAACAGCCATGATGGTAAAGAAATAATTTAAGAGGTGTTTTAGAAAAAGAAAATGTCAAATTAGATATGTATTTTGAACTATCTCTCTTACGCACGTATGCTCTCTCTCTCTCTCTCTCTCTCTCTCTCTCTCTCTCTCTCTCTGTGTGTGTGTGTGTGTGTGTGTGTGTTTGTGTGTGCATGTAGGCACAGTAGTTTTCATATGGAGAAGGCAAGCATGTGTTCATGTAGGTGACATCCAGAGAATAAACTCTACTATGATTTTTCTGGTGCCTTCATTTATTTAAAACAAGTCATACAAATCAAAGGTGAAAATATTGTGTGTTTGTAAAATATCCATCCTCCATTACAAAATTTAAAATCCCCTATCCCTACAATCATTATCCATGTGAACTTTGACAATTCTCTTCTTTGTGCTGTGTGTGTCTGTATATGTGTGTGTATGAAAATGCAGTTTGGTGTGAATGTGAATCCATGTGTGCATGTAGGTAATATACAGAATATAAACTCTACCACTGTTTCCATGATGTTTATTTCTTAAAAATATTTTACTCAACATAATTATATAAATATTATATATTTGTAAAAAGCCACCTTCAATACCCTAAGTGAAAAATCCTCCCATATTCCAAATCACACTATTTTGTGCTAATTTTGAGAACCCTGTGCTCTCTTTTTGTGTGTGTCTGTAGGGGACATTCATGTGTTTGTGCACAAATGGGTGGGAATATGTGTTCAGCATGTGTGTGTGTCTGCATGTGTGTATGAAATAGGTTATTTCATTTCTATTTATTTTTAAGAGTATAATTTAATTACATTTCTCCCTTCTCCTTGTTCTTTCAAACCCTCCCATATTCACTATACATTATCCTTCACATTTACAACATTATATTTTATAATTCTTGTTGGAGGTATGTATGTATACACATACAGATTTATTCTTAAATATAACCTGATAACTCTCTTAACAATACTTGTATGTATATTTTCAAAGCAGACCATTTGGTAATATATAACAAAATTGAGTGCCCTTTTCTAAGAATGACATCTCCCTTTCCCACATTTCCTCAGTAGCATACAGTGCTATGTGCAGAGTTGAGTCCTTCTGGGCTCTGGTTTGTCCATTTGGCATGTTCATTTGTGTTATAAGTATTAGGTGACTGTCTATTCTATGTAAACCTCCAGTCATCTTCTACCACATCTGTGAAATTTCAAGAGTTTAAATGAAAGCTAAAATGTAGAATCTTCAAAGTTTTAGTACTTTCCCAAAAGTTAGACTGTAAAGGGTACAAGTGGATGCCACTTCGTTAACATTTGCTGATCATTATCCCCAGGAAAATTAGTGGAGAAAATGAACACTAGGTCTTTCTATAGTAAGAAATATTAACTACTAGGTGGAAATAACAGAGTGTGCTTTATACAGAAATAATAAAACATGCATTAAATGTATGGATTAAAAATATGGTCAGGAAATATGTTAATGCATAGAAATGTAAAAAATTAATTGAGTTTTACAGACAAGAAATGAATAATAAAAAGGCAGAAAGCCCCTCATTTGCAATACCATGTAATGTATGTGCTCTGTGTCTTCATCAAAAGCTTCTCAGGAGAAGGCAAAGAAGGAAATCCATAGTGCCAGAGTCTGAGATCATCCTCAGCAGGATGATGAGTTCGTGTGTCTACATCGTAGGAGGAAAAGAGAAAATATTTAAGGACAACTAGTGAGTAATTGTAAAATATGGATAGTTAAGCAGAAAATAATTTCATATGATTAGTAACATCAAAAGAATGTTTAAAAAGAACAAAATTACTAGAGAAGATGTATTAATATTATTATAAATGCAATATTTACAAGTAATGTAGAGATTGGGTACAGTGGGAAACCAGATGCCCATGTAAGTCATCCCTTTTTCTTAATGATAAATTAAATCTGAAAATTTCTATAGAACCATACAGAAACATATAAAAATACTAAATTATTTGACATAAGTTGATGGCTCTAATATGTCACTTACTAATTATCATTTAACTCATCTTAAAAAATGACAAAGTTATACTAGGCAAATGTTTTTTCAAAAGTTCTAGGAGAAAATGTATATGTATATGTTACCAAGTAATGAAAAGAAACCATATTCTTCCTGCTACCACAGATGGGTAGAAGTGTACCTACTGAGACTGCATTCTTGACCCTTTAGCACTATGCTGCATTCTAAGGAAGAAGGAAGATCATGTGATGGTTGGTGATTCACAGCATCTTGCTGGGCCTCTTCTACAAACTTCTAGACCATAATGAGTCCTGTTTACTTAGGAGCCTTCCTAGGAATGCTGACTGAGTATCTGGCCCTTTATCCATACTACATCTTAGGAAACAGAACTCATTTTGCCAGTGTGGAGTTCAATGTTCTCTTTTTTTGGTGCAATTTCTGCATGCTCCAGAACATGTCTAGCAGTGTCTGTGAGGTGTCTGGTGGAATCCGGGTCACTGCTCCCCTTAAGAATTTTATTTAGTGGCAAAAAGTCTACCATACAAAATTTAAATAAGGTCTCAGTCACTGAATATTTCCGAACAATCTCTGAAAATCATGCAGAGTCTGAAAGTTATCTTTCCTGCTTGTCAATTCCTGAGGTTTCATTTCTTTAGGCTGTAACATATGACTTAAATACTGGAATGGCAGGTGTCTTTGTACTTTCTCTGGGGCAATAACTAACCTGGCATGGGTTAGTTACTCTGCTAAAGTTGTCCATATGTCTAGAGCAAAACTCCTTCATTTTATAGGAAAGCAAGATATCATCCATATCATGGGTAATATGAACTTGTAGAAATTGATCTCCGACATTTCATATAGCCTGAGCCACTGATTCATATATAACATAATTTCTGGCATAATGTAATTTATGGCAATCTCTGTTTGCCATACCCTGAAGCAAGATGCTCCAATGATAATTTCTCATTGGCTCTTTAAAGTTAACTGATAGAATACTAATTACAAATCTTTGACAATCTTTTGGTGCCAAAAATGGCAAAAAAATTATCCTTCAAATCTAAAGTAATTTTTATAGTTATCTTTTATTATGGCTGTAGAAAAAGACCACAAAGGCTGGAACATTCCATTGGCTGTATGGTCTTGTTAACCTCTTTAAATCTTGTATTAATTTCCATTTTCCTAATTTCTTTTAAATCACAAAATAGAGGAATTAGAGGGTGTAATGTGACCACTGCCCACCTGTTCCTGCACTAACCACTGGGAGGTTTGAAATTTTTCTTCTTTTAGATGCCACTGATTTACCCATACAGAAATTGAGTCTGCATGGAGTTTGGGCCTTTCAGTGACTTCTCCTAAAAATATCATAATACTGTCAGAAAGGACTTCTACTAAGTATGATAGGATCAGTCCTTCTCTCATTCTTGCTCAGCTCTTGACTGGGTAACAACCCTTAGCAAAATATTTGATTAGCAATAATTGTGTTAGAGGAATATAAATATACACCCATTTGAGTCATAATTTCTAGGTCCCACAAATTTACAGGTAATTGAGAAACAGTCTCCAGTTATGAAATGGCACCCACCATCTGGGACATGAGTCTACATAAGAACTAAGAAAAATTTTAAAAATTAAGAAATAAAAGATGGTTCTAGAAAAAAAAATGTAGGAGACAACTGCAGATTCTTGGGAGTTGCATTTTATTCCAGATAGCCTTGGCTTGCTGGCCACAAGCAGAGGCATAACTTCTTTTAGAGCCAGCTTCCTGGTTCATGCTGGTAGCGCAGCACAAACTTTTTCAGGAGGTCATGTTGTAAAGTACTTAAAAGGGGCTTGTGAGCAGAGTCCTATAAGTGGATTAATGGCAAAACAAACACTCTGCATCCCTGGAGATGGGGTAGGTAGCATGGCTCACAAAGGTGGTGAACATGCCTCCACCATGTTGGATGGTGTGGAGACAACAGGCAAAGCCACAGAGTTAGTCCTAGTAATGCCTACTTAGCATTAAAAAAAAACCTGTCCTGGTCAGAAAATAATTACAGATACACAATAAGACAGATTCAGACAAAAGAAGACCTCTAAATGGGTGACAGTGTTGTATAAATGTACATGGGCCTAAGAGAGAGAGAGAGAGAGAGAGAGAGAGAATATGGGCAACCATAATTAAATGAGCAAAGAAAATAAATAAATATTAAAAAGTAATATAGTAAAAAACATGAAAAGATGGAAAATACACAGAATGTCTGGATTATGAATATTATTGTGTTTTCTTTGAAATTTTTTGACTGCAGAAAAATATTTGATTCCGGAAAATATTAAAATAAACTAATATAAAGTTATTTTGACATCAAAATTCAAATTTAAGCATATGTTACTTTTGGAAAGAGTTTCTGCTTTTGTTTTCACCGAGGATGAAAACCTGTGGATTCCATCCAGGTTAGTGTGGTTCTGTTGTATGAAGGCTGGTTTCTCATTCCAGCTGCTCAGACCCTAAATAACCACATGGAAACTCTATTGCTGTTTGGCCTATTAGCTCTAAGTTCTTATCTGCTAGCTCTTACATATTATTTAACCAATTTCTATTAATCTGTGTATTGTCACATGGCTATGACTTACCAGCAAAGTTTTGGCATGCTTGTCTCTGGCGGCAGCTCCATAACTACTCCCTGACTCTCCCAACATTAGTTTAGTTTTCCTTGCCTAACTCTGTTCTGCCTGCCTATAATATAGGCTCAGAGCAGTTTCTTTATTAACCAATTTTATTCACAGCATAGAGAGGGGAAGCCCACATCATGGTTTGATGTACCAAGACCCCCTGAAAGTTTGCCATGAACCCTAAAAATAAACATCTGTCTAATTTTTAAAATTATTGGTCTTCACCAGTTACCTACAGTAGTATTGGGGTCAAATGAAGGAGCCCCTTGACTGGAGCCTGGAGAGGAATAGACTCACTCATCACTGCAGGTAGAGGATTTGGATTGTCTTCTCTCAAAATGAAAAAAAAAAGCCTATCTGGGTGCCAACCAGAAATCTTAAATATTTACCTCAACAAGGGGATAATGATAATAATGTTTCCAGAGAGCGTCCTGCCCCTGAGGAGTGCCTTTTAAATTTTTTTTAATGTTTTCTTTATTACTTAGTATGTATACAGTGTTCTGCCTGCATGTACGCTTGCAGGCCAGAAGATGACATCAGATCTCATTACAGATGGTTATGATCCACCATGTGGTTGCTGTGAATTGAACTCAGGGCCTTTGGAAGAGCAGATAGTGCTCTTAACCTCTGAGCCATTTCTCCAGCCCCTGGGGGGGGTGCTTTTCTGCTTCTTCCCAGAAACAATAAAAAATGTGGATTTGTTGGTTATCCTGATTATACCCAGAGAATAGATGGTGACACTTTCTGGACAAACCCCTGTGGATGGGTTTTTATGGATTCTTAACCTAGTTCTTTCCCCTGCTTTGCCCCTTCCTTTTCCTTATTCTCCTTCTTACTGTTGGGCCTTGTGTGTTGGATAAGATCACACAATTTATTTACCAAAGATTAGAGCTGGTTGAATTACATCAGGTCAAGGTATACAATCATAGGCTCGCTACTCAGGAGTCTGACCCCTTGTATGACTGTATGACTGGTAATCCTCATATAAAACCCCTCCTCCACTCTCCACTTGACCAGTGATGGATAAGTCCTCAGACAGGCTGGGACAACCTAAGGCAGGTCATGGAGTGGGTTCTTCATAAATGAGATACATGGTACTCAGTGACAGGTAAAATCTCCATGTGGAAGACAACCAAGGACATGGACCACAATATTAAATGTCATGACAGAATCAAAAAGGGGTGATGGTGGGCCTCATGGGGACCAGAAGTGAAGCCCAGTGTAACTTCCTGAGCCTTGCTTGAGTTTGAAGACCTGTCTCTGACTACCTAACCTAGACTTGCCACTGAACAGCCACTGCTAGCATAGAAGAACATTATTGGCCCTTATTCCTTACTCCACCTCAATCCATCCCAAGCTTCTCCAACCCAATCACAACTCTATATAAGTTAATGCTTGATACCATTAAATGAGATCCTGCTTTGACAGATTCCTGATTCAGTGACTGTGTTTCTCCCTGGTGGCTGGGAGGAAGGACTGGATCATTCAACACTCACCATCTCATTCAGCCCCAGGGAAAGTCCAGTGAGTCCAGCTCTGCCCCACTCTTTCTTCCAGAGAATAAATAACTTCCACCATTTGAAAGGTGGAGAGAGGAGAAGCCAGTACTCAGGGATGCTGTGACCAAGCTGCTTTCCAATTTAAAAGCTCTATAAGACAGAAAAAGATTACAGACACACAATAAGACAGATTCAGACATAAAAAAAACCCTAAACGAGTCTCAGTGTTGGATAAATGTATGTAGGCTTCAGAGAGTGAAGAAAAACTAAAGAAGCAATAAATGTAATAAAAGAGTACAGATAGTCATAGATTAAAGGTGTAAAAATAATAGAATAAATATTAAACTTGGAGAAAAATCAATAGAGAAAAATAAGCCACTTAGAGATTAAATATACACAAAGAGTATGGATTATGTATACTGTTTTGTTTTGTTTGAAATTTTTGCCTGTAAAAGAGCTAAGTAACCAATGTATATACTTTGAAGAGATCTTGTTTTCAAAATATGGGTCTAAGGATATGTTCCTTTGGAAAAGAGGCTCTTCTTTTGTTTCCACAGAAGATCAGACCCTATGGAACCTTTCAGACTATTGTGACTGGATGGACCAAAGATCCTGAAAGGTAGCCATGAACACGCCCAAAAATTACTTTGCACAACAAAAATCAGGAAGCAGATTGAAGAGGATGATGACCAAATTCCGAAATATTGTTTACAAATGTTTGTTCATATTTAAAGGGGGATATGCTATAGAGATTAGCATTTGTATGGGTTGGTTTAATTGATACAAATTTAAGGTCAGTGTTGTTATATGTATATTTCCACTCTTGATTAAGGTATTGTATTTGTGCAACTCATTTAAAAATGTAATGAATAATAAATAAATCCAAATGAATAGATAATTGGCTATAATAGTCAAGCTCATAGTCGTGTTAGTTAGGTTTTCTAGATGTACAAAGATGTATTTCAGATGGATAGGCATTATTCAAACATTTCAAAGACAAATGCTTATTCATTCCCAGTCCAGTTGGAGTTGGTGAGCTCCTGTTAACTCAGATCCATTGTCTCAGTGGGTGAACCCCTCATGATCCTGACTTCTTTGCTCATACTCTCCTTTCTTCTTCTCTTCAACTGGACCTTGGGAGCTTAGTCCAGTGCCCCGATGTAGGTCTCTGTCTCTGTTTCCATCTGTTATTAGACAAAGGTTCTATGGTTATATTTAAGATTATCATCAGTCTGACTACAAGACAAGGCCAGTTTAGACACACTCTCTATTGCTTAGGGTCTTAGCTGGGGTCATCCTTGTTAGTTTGGTTTTCTAGAAGCACAGAGATATATTCCAGTTAGATACATAAATTTCAGCACTTAAAAGACCTATAGATTGTGGCATTTAAAAGGTTTTAAGAGCTTAGACTTTTATCAACAAACACTGTGACATGTCTGCTTCTGGCAGCACCAATTACTTCAGAGAAGTTGATGGGCTTTGAAGAAACTCATCATAGAATTTGCCTTCAATATGACAAGACTAGCCATTTGGGTAAAAACTGCTCTTGCCAGGACTGCTTTATGGTATGCTGCATGAACGAGACATGCAGGAATCACAGAAAAAATGACTTCTGAACTTTCTAAAAGATAAGTTGTTTCTTCAGGGTTCCTGCTTCTCAGAAGAAACTACCACACGTTCTGCAGGACACAGGGGAAAGCAACAAATGAACTTTGCCAATACAAGGCAGTAAAGATCTTCAAATTTCCCTTCCAGCTTCATGGAAAAGTCTGCTGGATACTATGATTCTGTAGGCTAAGTATGGATGCCCCAAAATTACAGAAGAACTTTGGGTGACATTCAAAGTAGCAAGATGTCTCTGTCAATTCTAGAAATTTGGAAGTTGTTTATAATGTACTTCCTGTTTACTTAGGTATTATATCTTTCTGAGGAATTTGAAGAATTGAAGACAGGTGTTAATAGTGATCATATCCCTTAGTTATGATAAAGGATAAATTAGTTAAAACTTTAGACTAACAAAGATAGGATAGATGATACAGTATTTTTCTTAATTTGCCAAAAGAAAATGGACTAAATATGGTAAATACAATTTGTCCTTGATAAATATTTCATATATGTAATTTTACTATGTTAAATGTAAAACTTTCCTTTCTATTTAGACAGAAAACAAGCGATGATGTGGGATGCCATTGTCTATATGGGTTGCATTTATTGGCTAAAGAATAAAGTTGTTTTGACATATAGCATGGCAGAATATAGCCAAGTTGGAAGATATATATATATATATATATATATATATATATATATATATATATGAAGAGAGAGAGAGAGAGAGAGAGAGAGAGAGAGAGAGAGAGAGAGTAGGTGGAGTTAGAGAGCTGCCATATAGCTGCTGAAAAAGGACATTGGAATATATTGATAGGCCACAGTCTTATGGTAATATACAAATTAATAGAAATGGGTTAATTTAAGATGTAAGAACTATATAGGGATATTCCTGAGTCATTAGCCAAACATTGTTATAATTAACATATTTTTCTTTGCGATTATTTGTGTCTGGATGGTGACAAAACAAATGAGCAGTCTCTGCTTACATACATGAACAGGGATCGTTCTATTCCTGAAATATCCACTAAAATTAATGATGAAAAATCAGTACTTCATGAATATACATGCTGGAATAAAGGCTACTTTATCACTACACAAAAGGAAATAAATTCTAATGTACACAGGAAATATGAAACAGTACTGCAAATTATTTGGTAAAACTAAAAGGCTGCATTTCATGCTACCTGGTTCAATCTGTTTTGCCTACTCTTAGGAATAAGGAATACACGGATCATCTGTTCTTCTTTCAAAAGAGAATATGAGGCATCCTGATATTCATAAATGGGTCTGACTTGATCCTGCTACCAACTCAACTTTTGGACTTGAAAACAGGAATGGTAGTTGGGATTTTTCTGATAAACCCAATTCATGAAAATCATATGCTCTTTATATAGACTGTTGATTAACACTAGAGAATTTGCTATATATCTTATTCTCAAAGAGAATGGCTGTAAATGCACAGATCAGACAATATGATGTCTGAAACCCTCTATAAATTGGTCTCCCAGAGGAACTTTCCAGGGTTATAGCAGTTCAGGCATTGCATGCTAATCAATGAGACCTAACTCTAATTTAATTGTGAGGGTCCTCATAACAAAATAGGGCAGGTTTAGATTTATAGGTGTTTTTGAATGCATTATTTGTCCATTTGATGCTATTTCCCTCTGTGACAAGAGTGACAGTATGTTAGTTTATATATTGTTCATTTCTTCAGGGGCAAAAATACATAATATCATCTTCATAATATATGATAAAGTACACATATAAATGAAGAAATATAAGTGAACACAATTATCTGATTGCTATAAAACACTAGTAAAAATTAAAACTAAGGAAACACATTCATTTCTGTTGGTGTGAATGATGTCTTGATTACCCTGGAGGCAAGATTGGACTCCTAAATTCTAAGTACACAAAACAGAAGCACCCAAAATTTATTGAACAGAACACAGAAGTGAGAGTCTGGCTCTTGTATCTGTCTCACCACATTTAAGAACATATACTCTATCAAGATTTCTCATTCAAAATAAAAATATTGTATGGAGAAAAATCACACCACTATAAAAATCCAGATGTTTTATGGATAATTCTTGAGTTTAGGTATACTTCATAAGCTTTGCAAAATGTACTATGACCTCTTATGTTCTACAAAGAGAGGGGTGTGAACAATATGTGTGGCATGCTCTGGCAGTCCTTTCTAGTGTTTGAGTCTGTGTTTTTCCAGCTCAAATAAAGAATTCTTATTCTTCTTTGGCAATCCTATGTCACTATATGTGCATGGTCTATATTTTTCACATACACAAGATTTTCCCATTTGTATGGAACATGTTCTAAATTGTTAATTGCTTAAATCTCTTAAAATGCTTATGTCTTACTGTTCATGCACTTTATTTTAACCAGAGGTAAAATGAAGGTGTGATGTCAAGAAGAAAAGAGAAAAGCAGTTCTAAGGGAGGGAGTTATTGTTATGAGCATGAAAAACACTGAGCTCGATTTGGTGTCGTGGATAATCATGTAGGCTATACTAGTTTTTAGTGTTCATTTAGCATCTCAGGTACATGATACATGTACATCTGAAAGGTGATTCCACTAAATAAAATCTACTTTAAAACATATTGTAATGTTATTTTAGTTTCTTGCGGTATCAAGGTGGGAGAGAGAGTGAAAGAAAGAGAGAATTTCATAAATACTTAGGTTCCTCTTTTTGAACTCCATTCAAACATGACTAGGTTAATACAAATAATCATTGCTGACAGTCCCAGGAATCTACAAATTGAATTCCATGATTTCAGGGCTTTTTCAAAAATTTCCTATTTTTGTCACTACTAGAATATCTCATTGTATTCAATACCAGATATAGAACTTCCTCTCCACCCCCCCCAAAAAAAAACAAGTGCCCTGATTACACAAACCTCCATGTGTATTATTCATCATCCCACAAATGAAAACTTGTCAATTGGTCAAGTTTGAGGAGAGTAATAGAGGCTCAGCTAGTCTGTATCCCTTTCTAAGTTCATCTTATTGTTGCTCTGTTTCATTTCCTGACTACTCAGCAGAATTTCCCTCGTGAATACTGATAATTTGGTAAATCGTTTGAGCTACTTTAATTCCTTGGAGTCTATTTGATAATAAAATGGTTAAAACTGAAAAATGGAAGAAAATTACAAGTCCACATGCTTAGTGACAATAAAATGGAAATAATATGGGATAATAAACAATTAAAACACTACCATGTGTAGAAAATATGTATGGAAGCAGCACATGAACAGAATCTTAAGGGACAGCACTTCTGCATGTTGAAAGGTAACCAGGAATATTGCCTTCCCATCTCCATCTCACATTGTACTGGAAGGTTTCCTCAAAGCATTTTCTGGGGAAAATAAACACTACAAGTTTCTTGTGGTGTGGGAGGTCCTTCTGTCTATGTGTTGCTTTTATTGGTTAATGAATAAAGAATTTCTTTGAACCTATGGCAGGGAAGAACAGAACAAGGCAGGGAAAGTTCGACTGTATGCTGGGATCAAGAAAGCAAGGCTCAGGGAGACACCATGGACCTGCTTCTGGAGATAGACAGGCTGAAACTTTGCTGGTAGGACACGACCTGATAGTGATACACAGATTAATCAAAATGGGTTAAATGAAGATGTAAGAATTAGTCAAAAAGAAACAAGAGCTAATGGGCCAAGCAGTGTTTTATTCAGTATAGTTTCTGTGTGATTATTTCTGGTATAAGCTAGCCAGGTAGCCTGGAATGAACAAGCAACAATTCTTACTACATTCTCGTTCTTAGATGTCCAGTAAAACAACATTTTACAATTTATGAAAAATGGTCATAACATTGTGTAAAGTACTCAGTAATCTAAAAAAAAATTTACTTAGGTTAAATAACCAACTAATTTCAAAATAAAATAAAAGATAGACTTCAATCTAATTATTTACGTGAGTAACCAATAATCCAAAATGAAATCAGGAAGCAAGTGATTCTACAATACCATAAATTCAGGGAAGAGGTCTCCATCAGTGTCAATATCTTGAGATGCAGAGAGAAATCAGGGCTTTACTGCTTGAACAGGAACCTTACTGAACAGCACAGTCAGATGCTCTATGAGAAATAAATGACATAAGTTAAAGAACAAAATATGTATAAATAAATTAGAGTACTCCCAAAGCTAGAACCATGTATTCATGATTATTATTAACATGCTTTTATATTTAAAATATAGCAATGCATTGACATTAGAAGCAAATAATTTTCAAAGCTACTTAGAGACTAAAATTATCCCACCCACAGTGAAGATACATTACATTAAGGTATACAGTCAAACTCATTTAACTTCAAAAGAAACTGCCATAAGATAGCCAAGACTGACACAATAATCAGATAGAAGAATAGACAGGGAACGTGAATTTTCACTCATATTTCAAAACTTAAGACAAATTAGTTATAATGAAGTCTTTGAATATTATATATAGTTAAATATAGATCAGTGAAATGAAATTAAATGCACCAAATGAATACTTAAATACGTGTGTGTGTGACTGTCTGTCTGTGTGTAAGGGTTCTGCTATATGTGCTCAGTTGTATAGACACAAGGTCAATATCATGATTCATCCTCCATTCAATTCCAGCTTATTTTTGTTGAGACAGAGTCTGTCATAGATCCTAGAGCTCACCTGTCTGTTAGAATGGTAGACCAATTTGGATATTATAATGGGATTGTGTGTGTGTGTGTGTGTGTGTGTGTGTGTGTAAAACATTGTTTAATTTATAAAACTTCTAATATGTGCAGAGGAGACAGTCATTTAAAAAAAAATTTGTTCTTTTTTTTTTTAATTTTCTGAGGCAGGGTTTCTCTGTAGCTTTTTGGTTCCTGTCCTGGAACTAGCTCTTGTAGACCAGGCTGGCCTTTAACTCACAGAGATCCACCTGCCTCTGCCTCCCAAGTGCTGGGATTAAAGGAGTGTGCCACCACTGCCTGGCTCAAAAACTTTTGAACAAGTGGATACAATAAGAAAATTGATTTCCTCAATCAACAACACATAAAGTACACTGCAAATCGCATATGCCAATACATATCTAGATATTAAAACATAACAAATTAATTGTAACATTAATATAAGTATTGGTAATATGGAGGAAGAAATGACTGAAAAAATATTACAATTAACAAATGATGTATTTTTCTTAAATTAATTATATACTCAAACAGGGATGTGACACTAATACAGGACTTTTCTGGAACAATATTTGCCAATGAGTTAAGGTGTTGGGAGAAGACCAAAAATAAGTAAAGACAGTGTGAATCCAAGTCCCCTGTGTACATGACCACCTCTCTCTTAAAATCTTTCACTCTGCTAGCTCAATTTCCAAGTATAATGTCTCTAATGTATCATAAATAATCATAAAGTGATACTAAATAAGACATCAACTACTAAATAATAATAGACAAAAATGAAGTAAAAAGTTAAAATACATAGCAGGTACTAACATACCTAAAATTAAAAAATAGCTCAATCAAGAGACACAGGTATTTTTAAACATCACATTGGATAAGTTAATTGATCAGAAAATATAAAATACTCCACCACTCTAAATTTAAAAAAAATAAATATGAGAACTACATACATAATATTATGATTTGCTGCTGTAGGAAATCCTACAGCTTGTGGTTGCCCACCTACTGGGGCGTAGCCTCTTATACTATAAATGCTGATGCAGAGACTGCTTCTGCCCCTTTCTTTCATTACTGGCTACACTTTCAAATTGGTGGATTGGTGGATTGCTGGATTACTGGATTGCTGGATTGCTGGATTGCTGCATTCGATCTCTGTTTTCCATTCAAGCAGAGAATTCTGATTTGTGAGTTTACCCCTAAATAAATAACCATCTATTTCTCAATCCTGAGCTAGAGTGAGATTTATTTTATGTGTCTGTTCCACAATTTGTCATTTTTCATATTAGGATTCGAGAAGTAAATTTTACAAAATAAATAATTATAAACACTAAGAATGGTCAAAATGACAAGGAATCAGTATTTTACATTCTCTCAAGATGGTCTGCTAAATATGAATTCTGTGCATAGATAACAGAAAACTACACACATTTTGTAATATAATCTGTCCAGCAGGGGCCATGACTACCTAAGAAGAATATCAAAGCCAGTCAGGAGAAAATTCCATTCAAATTGTTGATAAGCAAACCCAGGAGAAAACTAAGGTCTGTTAGTGGTGACCTTGGTTGCTTCAAAGAAGTGGAAGTTAAGTCTCTACTGCGGAAACAATGTATTTTTGTTATGGAACTATAAAAATATTGACAGTAAGTACATAAAATTCTGAGGCCTGAGGATTAGCTATCAGAGACCATGACATTGTTAAGAAAGCTGTTTAGGAGCTGTTCAGCCTGCAGGGGCTATACTGCCGGATACCTCCTCTCTCTTCCTATCCCACCCAGCTTACATCCAGAACCCCCTACCCCCTGTCTTTCTCCCTCCCTCTCCTCTTTGGCGGCATAGCACCTCCCAGCTCAGCCTGCTATGGCGCTGGGACCGAACCCGAATCGGGAGGGCAAAAGGGAGGGCGGTAGTTCCTTTGTCTCCATAGCCTGCCTGCAGCAAGCAGGGTGGGCCATTTCTTTGTGAGCTAACCAAGCAGCACGGAGATCCGATATGGACACCAGGAGAACCATCACTGGGGAGTGACATCACTGGGAAGGTACATAGGTGTGCAAGAAGACATGTTCCTGTAAAAGAAGATCCATAGGGGAGTATTGGGAGGAAGAGATGGGCAGAGCCAATGCAAGAATTCACCCAATAATCAGAAAAACAACATGAAACCACCAGAAGCCAGCGACCTCACGACAGGAGGACATGAACACCTTAATCAAGAAGAAGTAGAAAAAATTGACTTCATGAAAGTGATTGACACCCTTAAACAGCATGTAAAAAATGCCCTTATAGAAATGGATGAGAAGTATAACAGAAAGTTCGAGGAATTGAGTAAATCAGTGAATGATACCCCAGGAAACCAAGGAAAAACAATCAAGCAGATAATGGAAACAGTTCAAGACTTGAAAACTGAAATGGAGGCAAAGAAGGAAACACAAACAGAGGGCTGGCTGGACATGGAAAATCTAGGTAAATGAATAGAGACTACAGAAACAAGCATAACCAGCAGAATACAAGAGATAGAAGAAAGAATCTCAGATTCTGAAGATACCATAGAGAAAATAAACACACTGATCAAAGAAAACAGCAAGTCCAAAAAACTCTCATCACAAAATATTCAGGAAATATGGGACACAAAAAAAAGACCAAACCTAAGAATAATTGGAGTAGAAGAAGGAGAAGTGCAGCTCAACGGTCCAGAAAATATACTTAATAAAATTATAGAAGAAACTTTCCCAACCTGAAGAAAGATGTACTTATGAAGGTTCAAGAAGCTTACAGAACACCGAATAGGCTGGATCAAAAAAAAAAAAAAACATCCCCTCGCCATATAATAATCAAAACACAAAGCATACAGAATAAAGAAATAATATTAAGAGCCGCAAAGGAAAAAGGCCAAGTTACTTATAAAGGTAAACCTATCAGACTTACATCTGACTTCTCTATGGAAACCATGAAAGCCAGAAGGTCCTGGATAGATGCACTGCAAAAACTAAGAGACCATGGATGCAAGCCGAGACTACTATACCCAGCCAAGCTTTCATTCACTATAAATGGAGAAAACAAAATTTTCCAGGATAAAAACAAATTTAAACAATATGTAGCCACAAATCCAGCCTTACAGAAAATAATAGAAGGAAAATCACTAACCAAGGAGTCCAACAATGACCACAAAAACTCAGACATCTAGAGACCCTTCACCACCGCAACTCAAAGAAGGGAAACACACAAACCCTACTACTAAAAAAGTGAACGGAGTTAACAACCACTGGTCATTAATATCACTTAATGTCAATGGGCTCAACTCACCTATAAAAAGGCACAGGCTAAGAGATTGGATACAAAAACAGGATCCAACATTCTGCTGTTTACAAGAAACACATCTCAACCACAAAGACATGCAACTACTCAGAATAAAGGGCTGGGAAAAGGCTTATAAAGCAAATGGACCTAAGAAACAAGCAGGTGTGGCCATATTAATTTCTAACAAAATTTACTTCAAACTTAAATCAATCAGAAGAGATGGAGAGGGACATTTTATACTCATAACAGGAACAATTCATCAGGATGAAGTCTCAATTCTGAATATCTATGCCCCTAATATAAAAGCACCCACATACGTAAAAGAAACATTACTAAAACTCAAGGCAGCCATCAAACCACACACACTAATAGTAGGAGACTTCAACACTCCTCTCTCACCAATGGACAGGTCAATCAGACAGAAACCTAACAGAGAAATTAGAGAATTAATGGAGGTAATGAAGCAAATGGACTTAGCAGACATCTATAGGTTATTCCACCCAAAGAGGAAAGAATATACCTTCTTCTCTGCAGCTCATGGAACCTTCTCAAAAATTGACCACATACTTGGTAACAAAGCTAACTTACACAGTTACAAAAAAATAGTAGTAACCACCTGTGTCTTATCAGATCACCATGGATTAAAGTTAGATTTCAACAACAATGCTACCCCCAGAAAGCCTACAAACTCATGGAAACTGAACAGTCATCTACTGAACCATACCTGGATTAAGGAAGAAATAAAGAAAGAAATTAAATTCTTCCTGGAATTCAATGAAAATAAAGAAACAACATACTTAAACTTATGGGACACTATGAAAGCAGTCCTAAGAGGAAAGTTCATAGCACTAAGTGCCCACTTAAAGAAAACAGAGAAAGCTCACTTTGGAGACTTAACAGCCCACCTGAAAGCTATAGAAAAAAATGAAGCAGACTCACCCAGGAGGAGTAGAAGACTGGAAATAATCAAACTGAGGGCTGAAATCAACAAAATAGAAACACAGAAAACAATCCAAAGAATCAATGAAACAAAAAGCTGGTTCCTGGAGAAAATCAACAAGATTGATAAACCCCTATCAAAACTAATCAAACGGCAGAGAAAGAATACGCAAATTGATAAGATCAGAAATGAAAGGGGGGACATAACCACAGACACAGTGGAAATTCAGAGAGTCATTAGATCTTACTAAAAAAGCCTATATGCCACAAAACTGGAAAATGTAAAACAAATGGACAATTTTTAGATAAATACCATTTACCAAAATTAAACCAGGACCAGGTGAACAAACTAAACAGACCTGTCAGTCGCAAAGAATTAGAAGCTGTTATCAAAAATCTCCCTACCAAAAAAAGCCCAGGACCAGATGGTTTCAATGCAGAATTCTACCAGAACTTCCAAGAAGACCTAATACCTATACTCCTTAATGTATTCTACAATATAGAAAAAGAAGGGTCATTACCAAATTCCTTCTATGAAGCTACAGTTACTCTGATACCAAAACCACACAAAGACTCAACCAAGAAAGAGAATTACAGGCCAATCTCACTCATGAAAATCGATGCAAAAATACTCGACAAAATACTGGCAAACCAAATCCAAGAACACATCCGAAAAATTATCCATTATGATCAAGTAGGCTTCATCCCAGAGATGCAGGGCTGGTTCAACATACGTAAATATATCAATGTAATCCATCATATAAATAAACTGAAAGAAAAAAAAACATATGATCATTTCATTAGATGCTGAAAAAGCATTTGACAAAATACAACATCCCTTTATGATAAAAGTCTTGGAGAGATTAGGGATACAAGGGTCATACCGAAATAAAATAAAACCTATTTACAGCAAGCCGACAGCTAACATCAAATTAAATGGAGAGAAACTCAAAGCCATCCCGCTAAACTCAGGAACACGACAAGGATGTCCACTCTCGCCATACCTCTTCAATATAGTGCTTGAAGTTCTAGCAATAGCAATAAGACAACATAATGGGATCAAGTGGATTCGAATTGGAAAGGAAGAAGTGAAACTTTCGTTATTTGCAGATGATATGATAGTGTACATAAGCGACCCCTAAAACTCCACCAAAGAACTTTTACAGCTGATAAACAACTTTAGTAATGTGGCAGGATACAAGATCAACTCCAAAAAATCAGTCGCCTTCTTACACACAAAGGATAAGGAAGCAGAGAGGGAAATCAGAGAAGCTTCACCTTTCACGATAGCCACAAACAGCATAAAATATCTTGGGGTAAATCTAACCAAGGAAGTGAAAGATCTATTTGACAAGAACTATAAGGCATTGAAGAAAGAAATTGAAGAGGATACCAGAAAATGGATGGACCTCCCTTGCTCTTGGATTGGGAGGATCAATATAGTAAAAATGGCAATTCTACCATAGGCAGTTTATAGATTCAATGCAATCCCCATCAAGATCCCATCAAAATTCTTCACAGATCTGGACAGGACAATAATCAACTTTATATGGAAAAATAAAAAACCCAGGATAGCAAAAGCAATCCTATACAATAAAGGATCTTCTGGAGGCATTACCATCCTTGACTTCAAACTCTATTACAGAGCTACAGTAAAGAAAACAGTGTGGTACTGGCATAAAACCAGAGAAGTTGACCAATGGAATCGTATAGAAGACCCGGATTTTAACCCACAAACCTATGAACACCTCATCATCGATAAAGGAGCTAAAAGTATACAATGGAAGAAAGAAAGCATCTTCAACAAATGGTGCTGGCACAACTAGATGTCAACCTGTAGAAGAATGAAAATAGACCCATATCTATCACCATGCACAAAACTCAAGCCCAAATGGATTAAAGACCTCAATATCAGTCCAAACACACTGAACCTGATAGACGAGAAAGTGGGAAGTACCCTACATCATATGGGGTATGTATAACCCCAGCAGCACAGACATTAAGGTCAACATTGAATAAATTGGACCTACTAAAACTGAGAAGCTTCTGTAAAGCAAAGGACACTGTCACTAAGACACAAAGGCAACCTACTGACTGGGAGAAGATCTTCACCAACCCTGCAACAGACAAAGGTCTGATCTCCAAAATATATAGAGAACTCAAGAAACTAGACTTTAAATTGCTAATTAACCCAATTAAAAAATGGGGCACTGAACTGAACAGAGAATTCTCAGCAGAGGAAGTTCAAATGGCCAAAAGACACTTAAGGTCATGCTCAACCTCCTTAGCAATCAGGGAAATGCAAATCAAAACAACTTTGAGATATCATCTTACACCTGTCAGAATGGCTAAAGTCAAAAACACCAATGATTGCCTTTGCTGGAGAGGCTGTGGAGGAAGGGGTACCCTCATCCATTGCTGGTGGGATTGCAATCTTGTGCAACCACTGAGGAAATCAGTGTTTCGGTTTCTCAGGAAATTCGGGATCAACCTACCCCTGGACCCAGCAATACCACTCTTGGGAATATACCCAAGATATGCCTGATCATATGACTAAAGCATTTGTTCAACTATGTTCATAGCAGTATTATTTGTAATAGCCAGAACCTGGAAACAACCTAGATGCCCTTCAATGGAAGAATGGATGAAGAATGTATGGAATATCTACATATTAGTGTACTACGCTGCGGTAAAAAACAATGACTTCTCGAATTTTGCATGCAAATGGATGGAAATAGAAAACACTATCCTGAGTGAGGTATCCCAGACCCAAAAAGATGAACATGGGATGTACTCACTCATAATTGGTTTCTAGCCATAAATAATGGTCACGGAGTCTACAATTGGTGAACACAAAGAAGCTAAGTAAGAAGGTGAACCCAGTGAAAAACATATAGTTATCCTCTTGGCTATGAGAAGTAGACAAAATAGCCAGGGAGAAAATTGGGATCTTGGGGGTGGGGTGGGATGAGGGTAAGGGGAGATTGGGAGAGAAAAGTGAGAAGGGAAGGAGGGGGGGAACTTGGGGAAACAGGAGGATTGGGATAAAGGAAGGTTGGACAGGGGAGCACGGAAACACAATTCTTAGTTAAGGGATCCACCTTAGGGTTGTCAAGAGACTTGACCGTAGAGTGGCCCCCAGGAGCCCAGTGTGATGTCCTCAGATAGTCCCTTGGGCAGCTGAGGATAGGGAACCTGAAATGACCCTATCCTATAGCAATACTAATGAATATCTTGCATATTACCATAGAACCTTCATCTGGTGATGGATGGAGATAGAGACAGAGACCCACACTGGAGCACTGGACTGAGCTCCCAAAGTCCCAATGAGGAGCGGAAGGAGGGAGAACATGAGCAAAGAAGTCGGGACCACGAGGGGTGCACCCATCCACTGAGACAATGGGGCTGATCTAATGGGAGCTCACCAAGGCCAGCTGGACTGTGACTGAAAAAGCATGGGTTAAAACTGGACTCTCTGAACATGGCGAACAATGAGGACTGATGAGAAGCCAGGGACAATGGCACAAAGTTTTGATCCTACTTCATGTACTGACTTTGTGGGAGCCTAGCCAGTTTGGATGTTCACTTTCCTAGACATGGACAGAGGGGGGCAGACCTAGGACTTTCCACAGTCAGGGAACCCTGACTGTTCTTTGGACTGGAGAGGGAGGGGGAGAGGAGTGGGGGGAGGGAGAGAAGGGTTGGAGGAGGGGGAGGGAAATGGGAGGTTGGGAGGAGGCGGATACATTTTTTTCCCTTTTCTCAATAAAAAAAAAAGAATCAAATGAAGACTGGCTTCTCCCTAACACATCATCCCTGTATAAAAAAAAAAAATAAACTAGAGCGAGTGTACATGGAGATTGTTTGTTCATTGCTGGCTGCCCAGACCTGAAATAATTATATGAAACTCTATTAATTCCAAGGCTGCTTTGCTAATGACTCTAGCATATTCCTATATTTAGCTCTTACATCTTAAATTAACGCATTTCTCTTACTTTTTATTTTGCAATGAGGCTCATGGTTTACTGGTAAGGTTCTTGGTTGTTTGTCTACTTTGGGGGCTACATGGCATCTCTCTGACTCTACCTACTCTCTCTATATATCAGATTCCCTTCCTGGCTATATTGTGCTTTGAAAGAGGCCCAAAATGGCTTCTTTATTAACCATTAGTAATAAATCATTCAAAGCATACAAAAGGGAATCATCACACATCACCTACTGATTTCTGTTTAAATAAAAAGGAAAATATTAACTTTTACAAGGTAAAGTTACTTATAACAAAACAGGTATCCAGCAAGAATTACACTGAAAATATTTATATCTACTTTATCTTCTATCATTACTAAGAAATGTATAATTATAAAAATCTATTCTTCAACTCCATCAAAGACTCCCAGCCATCTCTGTGACCACCAGGAGCAGGCCACACTCACCACCTCAACTCTGGTTTGCAGTTGGCCCAAGCTGTCACCAAGCAACTTGGAGCATGCTGCCCCAAAATCCCATTCAAGTGCTTGGCCTCCTGATAGAGCCAGAGTTTTTGCTGATAGTATGAACCAGGAAGCTGCTTTTTTTTTTTTACGCTAAGTAAGTAAGCCTTCTTTTAAAAGAGTCACAGTGCCCCTGCTCATAGCCAGCAAACAAAGCCTATCTGAAAATAAGCAGCTACCAATAAGCTGTGCTTAACTCTGTTCTTTTGTGCCTAGAATTTATTCCAAAGTTCTTGCAGTTTTTATGTGGATGCAGTTACTCACTTGGCTGCCATTCTGTTGATGGAGTCTGCTCATTCATTTCCTGGCTTCCCAGACCTAAAATAATCACACAGAAACTTTATTAATTACAACACGGCTTGGCCTATTAGCTTATGCTTCTAATTCACTAATTCTTACATCTTAAATTAAGGCATTTCTATTATTTTATATTTTACCACAAGGCTCATGGTTTACTGGTAGGTTTCCTGGGTGTCTGTCTCCTTCAGCAGCTACATGGTATCTCTATGATTCTAATTACTCTCTCTATATATCAGATTTCCCACCTGATAATACTATGCCTTGCTATAGGCCCCAATCAGATTCTTGATAAACCAATGGCAACAAAGCATAATAATAATATACAGAGGGGAATTCCACATCAAATAAGCATGATTATCTTTGCCTATATTTCTTTACCATAGATGCTCTCTGTAAAGTTCATGAGGCTTTGAAGCTGCCCAAAAGTCATTTACCACAGAATTAGGCATTGTTTCATTATCTTTGCTTAGTAACTTAGCCTCAAGAATAATCATGACAACTTTCCTTCTAGTATATAAGATGGACTTATGCAGTCTACCATATCATCAAAGATGCAATTGTTCTTTATTGAGACTCTTTACATGCTTGTCTTTCACACTTCAAATGCAAAGACTTTCAATATTTTAAAGATCTTGCTCGACATAAGTCTCAGCAGGGCCCCTAAACATCCATGACAATCTCAAAACCCTTACTGTGAACACAATCAACCCAATCAACTGTGCATCGTACATAGCTTTCCTTAATAGTTACCCCAGAATTCTGGATCAACCTTTAATGTCCTTTAGCTTTCCCTGGGGAATCCATTGCTAATAGACAAATATCCCCCAATGATTCACAGGAACCAGTCCATCAGAGTACGATATACATTGTACTATAAGAGTATATGCACAGTATGTCTCAAGGGGAATGAAATAGTTACATTTCTCGGTTTCTGGGCTTCCACAGCCCTAAGACTGATCTTGTTTGCCCCTTTGTAGCACAGCTATACAAGATAGCCTGTGAGAGTCTCATTCTCTTATTTGAAGCTTTTCCACAACAACAGAATATTTTATGTCGAATTATCTCTGATTACCATTGTATCACACATCTGATCCTAAATAATAACTATACCTAAATGCTGTCACATAGATTTTCTTTTGTATGAAAGAGTACTTACATATAGTGACTTTTTGGGATTTTTTTGGAAGAATATGTGCTTCCTACTTACTACACAATTCTTACCATGTACTCTAGTTTTAGGTATCCCTAATGCTGTTCTGTATTGTTGCTATACTCTCTACCCTCTTATTATTCTGTCACAAAAACAGACATCTCCATTTCTCCTCCTTTATCCAATTTGCTCACTATGTCAGATGCCAAAACAAATTCCAAACTCACGTGCCTTTCTTTTTCAAATCCACAGCTTACACTTGTGGTCTCACCACTGACAACTCACACCAAAATATATCTCTTCTTACTGGTAGTAGTATCTATGTTGCCAGTGTGGCTATTCACTGAGAATTATGCCCCAGATGATTCCATGAATCAACCCAGCTATAACACCTGGCACAGCATATGAATGGGAAAAAGACCACTCTGTTTCAATTTCTCCTTCAGATTGCCCCTGCCAATGTATCTTTACCCTAGAGATGTGTCATTATATCATTGTACTACCCATGACTGGGCAACAACTCCCAAAAGCACTATACAATCAAAAACATCATATTAAATGTTCCTATGCAATGAGTGCTTCCTCGTGGTAGTTTATGTCAATTATATGATGCTGTGGAATAAGCCTTCTGTATGAAGATATATTGCATTCATTGCTAATAATACACTGATTGACTGATCACTAGGAAGGAGGTTCAAAGCAGAGACAATGCTGAAAAAATTAAGAGCTGACTCAGAGAGATGCCATGAGATGGCGAGTATGAAGGGTAAGAAGGGTAAGAAGTATGTACATGACAAAAACAACTTCAGGGAAGCACATAGAGAAATACAAATGGCTTAATTTAACTTGTAAGAGCTTGAGCTAGCTAAAAATAAGCCTTACATAAGGTGAGCATTTATAATTAACATTATTTGTGTGGCTATTTGGTGAGTAGCTGGTGGGAGAGAAAGGACCACTTCCAATTTGTCTCATTCCCCATAACATGAACAACATCATTGATTTCCAAAATTCATCTCAGTTTTGGTTTATGCTTGCAACTACCAGAGGTGTGATAAACACCACTTCATATGGAAAGAAATAGAAAGTATTCCCCCGACTCCTGCTAAATATCTTCAAAAGAACAGACCTACCTATATTCCACCAAGATAAACTATGGCAAGCCAGAGGTTGTTCTGCTTACTTACACCACATAGATGACACAAGAATTACTGCAGGGTGTACTTTCGACCAAATACTGCAGCAGAATGTCTTTTCCCAGCACGAATGATTGCTTTCTTATAACGTCATACATGGAGGCATCATTATATATTCTCGTCTCTCTCTGAGTCCCTGATGACATAGGGAGTTATTATTGGAAAAAATGAATAACTATTGTACATAATGGATGCTTACAAGTTTAGGCTAAACATTCATGTGAATATAAATTTGATATTGTACTGAAAAATAAAGTGCACTCACCCTTCATGTTTCTAGTTCACTGCCATTCCCAGGGTCATCAATAGGATCCATCTAGGTATCAACTCAAAGTAAATATCCCTCCTGACCAGAGTCTATAGCAAAGAGAGATAGAGCAATTAGATATCACTACCGAGGCTCTCTCAACTCACAGGCCATGAGGAAATGCAAATAAATTGCGACAGCTACAGAGTAACAGTAAACTTCTGGGCTCCATGTCACTTACTGCAAACCCATCATACAAGGATGACTTCGTGAACTTTTTTAGATTTTAATAAATAATTTCTTCCTCAATATATATGTTTTCTCTCAATCATACTGTCATGTTCTTTCTCCCTCCTTGTTGAAAATGTTGAATGCCCTTGTATTGACATTCACCTTATATGTACACATGGGAAGTACAAACTGAAATAATTGGTTTTGATGGACAAAAAAATAAATCATTGTAGAAAGATGATGTGAAGTGGAAATTGAGGTTTGGGGGAGCGATGATGGATAGATAAAGCTCTATTAGTTATATAAATAAAATTTCAAAAAATAAGTCAAATAACATAACAAAATAATAAGTCCCCCATGATCTTTGGCTTGATTGTACTTTTAATCTATGATAGGATGAGAGCAAACTATGATTCCCCACAGTATATCTGCAGAAACTGATGAGCTTTCAAACAAGCACATATTTAATACTGAGGCATAATTATATTCTGACAGCTCTATGCCTACATTTTCAATCTCTGTCAATGCAAATTAGATACTTAGTAGAGAATCCAGATATTACCTTTGAGTTGTGTAGTAATATTTCATTTTTATTTTAATAAATAAAGCTTGCCTGAAGATCAGAGAGTAAAACAGTCTCTGACTAGTCAGCCTTAAATCCAGTCTTTGGTGACAAACATCTTTAACGCCAGTAGCCACACAGGTTTCCCATAGAAACTGGGCTGTGGTGGTGCATGACTTTAATCCCAGCCCTAAGGAATATAAGTAGGAGACAGCTCTCAGACACAGTCTCAGTCTGAAATTCCTAGAGGCAGGTTCACCATTTCAAACAGAGGTAGAAGTAAGAGCCAGTGACTGGCTGTTTTGCTTGTCTATCCTTCAGACTGAACATGAATATCTGTCTCTGGGTTTTTTATTAATCGTGCTACAGACTTCCCATTTTAGATAATCAACTTTGAGTATATTTTAGCAATATACTGCTCTAGAAGAATTAAGCATTAATATAAGCTTAAATTTAAAATTCATGTAAAATTTATTAAAATTACATTAAACCCACATTTAAGCTTCAACAATGAGTGTCGCAGCTTCTACTGGTCATCTTGAGAAGAACAGCAACTCCTGTTTAGTTACCATAAGATGCCCAGGAAACCTGATACCTTCCTCTGAATTCATGATGAAAAAGAAGCCAGAGAATTTTTAAAATGTCTATGTAGGATAAAAAGAATGTGAACTCGTTCTACTCACCTCCACTTCTGAACCTATTTACTTATTATCATTTATCTATATGAGTTTCTCCATCTAATTACTACTTCGACATTGCTTGGAGTGTTATCAATCTGTCATTCCATGTGAGTTTCTCCCTCTGAGGTCTGTAAATGATTAAATATGTTCACTGTTGTTTGTGCTTTATTGAGTTTTTTGTCTAATGTGTGTCTCTTGACAATTATCCTGACCATGAATTCTTACCCTCTTAAAATATTTCACAAGAAAGGAAACATGAAGATAATAAAATTTACATAGGACCATGGTGAACACCCTTTCCATCTCAACCCATATAGGGGCAAACCACTCTTCCACAAGGGTCACCTAAGACCACAGGAAAACACAGATATTGACCTCATAATCACTGTAGTAACAGAATTACAGTTATACAGTGGCAACACAGATAGTTATATGATTGGTGGTCACCACAACATAGGAAACTGTATTAAAGTGTTGCTGTTCACTTATTAGTGGATTCTAGCCAAAAACAAAAAATATTGAACCCATAGCTCATGATTGTAGAGAAGCTAAGTAATAAGGTGAACCCAAAGAAAAACATGTATAGATCCTCCTGGAAACTGGAAGCAAACGAGATCACCAGGCAAGTTCTGAGCATGGGGGTGTGGAGGAGGAAGGGGAGAGGGGAGAAGTGGAGGGCTGGGGAGAGCTTGGGGGAATGGGATGGTTGAGATGGAGGAAGGACAGATATAGGAACAGGAAAGGAGATATCTTAATTGAGGGAACCATTTTGAAGTTGGCAAGAGGCTTGGCTCTAGAAGGGTTCCCAGGAGTCCATGGGGATGACCCTATCTAGGACCCTGAGCAGTGGAGGAGATGGTGCCTGAACTGGTCTTGTCCCGCAGTCACTGATAACTATCTTGAATATCACCATAGAACCTTCGTCAGGCAACAGATGGAGATAGAGACGGAGACCCACATGAGAGCACTGGACTGAGCTCCCAAGGTCCAGTTGAAGAGCAGAATGAGGGAGAATATGAGCAAGAAGTCAGGACTGTGAAATGTTGGTCCACCCATTGGGACAGTGTGCCTGAGCTAATGGGAGCTCACCAACTCCTGCTGGACTAGGAATGAACGAGCATGGGATCAAACAGGACCCTCTGAATGTTTTTGACAATTGGGGCAGACTGAGGGGGCCAATGATAATGGCAGTGGGATTCTTCTCTATTGCATGTACTGGCTTTTTGGGATCCTAATCTCTTTGGATGCATATCTTGTTCAGTCTGGAGGTAGGGGGGAGGTCCTTGGACTTCCCACAAGGCAGGGTATCCTGCCCTATCTTAGGACTGGAGAGTGGTGGGGGGGTATGCAGAGGATATGGAGGGAAGTGGGAAGAAGGGAGGAAGTAGGAATTTTGATTGGTATTATTTATAAAGTAATTAAAAAGATAGAAAAGGAAGGTGAAGAACAACTGACAGGGTGTACATAGTCACAGGATGATTGCAAGCAATACAATTGAAAATGATTTATGATATCAAAGAGCAACTCAAAGTAATTTAACTTCATTAAATTACATGACTTACTTCATTGAAATGACGGGTGGATGCATATCTTGATTGGTACATGTTAGATACGAAATGAAGACTACAAGTCAGTTGGCTCTGTCTCCTGGCAGGTTTCAGGAGCAATCCTCCTTCACTGACTAGTAGGTTATAGTCAGGTCCTGGCTAGAACCAGGAACCAGCTGAGAGCTGGTCTCCAGCCAGGAGCCCGACTGACAAAAACCCTTTGTGAAGGGACGAATATTATCTCCAGTCGCCTCGGATTGGCTAAGTGTGTGATATCATCTAGAGAATGGATTTGGGCCAATCACGAGACAGATCTCAAAGCTACCAATGGAAATTAAGGGCCTGCTGTAACTATGGAGATTTCCAGCTAAGCTGCTATTTCATGTCTCTCTCCCCCTCCCTCTTGTTACCACAGAAACAGGGAAACTGAAACTAGAAAGGCAGAATAAAGTGTAAATAAACATAAAATCTGACTAGAATTGACAAAACAGGAAACTAATCAATGGTGCCTGAAGCGTGAGCATGTACCTGGCTCCTTAGGAATAGATCCTGGCTTCCTATAAGAAAGCCTGCATTTCTGTCTGAGCCATTTTAAACGTAACTCTGTGAAATATTTTTGCTAAATATTTGCTATCTGTCTGTGCCAATTTTCATAACTGCTATGAATGTACACATGAACCATCACATGGAATTGGAACTATTAGAGTGACCTACAAAACGATGATTAAAGAAAGAAATGGTGAGTGCTATCCCTGGTCAAGCAATGTACCCTATGATCATGGAAGGTCTTGAAGTGTCATAATGGTAAATAAGTAATTTATGATGCATTATGAAATAAAAACCTTCAAAATATCTCTGCGTGTGTGTGTGTGTGTGTGTGTAGGTGTTTGTGTGTGCTCAGTTTTGAAGTGAGGAATAAGCACAAGAGTGCATAAAGGAAGCATACAGAAAAAACTGTTTTCTCTGTTGCCTTCATTTCTTTAGAATGTCTTACTCGATATAAATATGTAAATATTATGTGTTTCTAAAGCCCACCATCCCTAACATAATCCAAAATCCTATCCTACCTCTAACATCACTATTGTGTCATAATTTGAAGAACTCTCTTTTTTCTTTGAGTGTGTATGTGTTTGTTGGTGTGTATGTGTTTGTGTGTATCTGTGTGTGTTTCTGTGTGTTTCTGTGTACATATGTGTATGCAAGTGTGTGTGGCTGTTTTCTTATTTTTATTTTTGTGATTATAATTTTATTGCAACATATATTCCTTCCCTTCTTCTAACCCTCAATATACCACTTCACATTTTTCTTCAAATTCATATTCTCTTTTACACTAATTGTTATTGCATGCATATATGTATGCACACACACACACACACACACACATATATATATATATATATATATATATATATATATATATTATTAAATATACACTGAAGAGTAAGACTAATGCTACTTGCATGTATGTTTTCTAAGCTAACCTTTTGGTAGGTTAGAAATAATTGGTGTGCTGCTCCCTGGGAAAAGCCACATCTTCCATTTCCAGCTTTCCTCAATTGCCTATAGTTGCTTGTGTTCAGTTAAGACCTATTTGACTTTTCTTTGTTCTGATTAGCATGTTCTTTGCTATCATTCCTATTCATTTCATTTTCATGTAGTTATATTCTGCAGAACTTATAGGTGGAGCTTCTGATATTCCTGGAATATTCAATATCATAGCCCACTCCCTGATCGTCTGACTCTTAACAACTTTTCTGCCCACTTCACTGCAATGTACCATGAGCATATGTATGTGTGGAAGTGTTTTTGTAAATGCATCCATTATGATTGTGCAAGTTTCTGAAAAAGGAGGACAATCTCATGTCCTAAGCAGCTATGATGGCTATAACCACATTAATGAACAGCACGGCACAGTAACTTGAAATGTGCAGTACTAGCACAAGTATCTAGGTGGTATTCAATGCCTCTCCCTTTGTGCTTATGACCTGCTCAACAGCAGGAAGACAATGCTTGCTATTGGAAATATAGTTAATTACTCAGTGGTGATGAGTGGTATAGATAAGGGAGGAGAATTGACATCAACAATTTATTAATGCACCTTAGCAACTTATGAAATTTTGTCCTCATACACTGAGATAAATGGAGGCTTCTCTCATCGTGAAGAAATCCTCCGTTGTAACAGAGAGATCATCTCAGAAAACAATAGCCAGTCAAAGTATAGGGTTATGGAGCCAAGGCTCCCTCGTTTCTTAATAGAAACTGAGCTCATTTAGGGTTGCCTGTGTCTTCATAAATGTGTGGAACTCTCCTGGAAGCTGGGTGTTTTCTGAGATCAAACGTTACTAAAAAAAATAAATTTATCCTTCCTCAGCAGTTCATTAATTGCCATTGACTATTAAAATAAGAGTAAGATTTCGTTCCTTCCTGTAACAACCATCCTGCGATTTTGGCTAGCTTGACATTATACAAATCATGTACATGCAGTTTTATCTGCTTAAAGCACATATGTGCAATGTTGCTATTATGTTCATAAATACTATATTAACTCAAATATCTAATAATTTGGGTTCACTTGAAATAGTTACTTTCAATAAATTTCACCAAGTAATCTAGTTTGGCTAGATGTCAAAACTCAAGAGATCTGTCATTGCCAATCACGCCGTGGGATTGCATGCCCAAAATACTATTCCTGGATTTTTACCTGTGTATTCTAATAATAAACACTGATGTTCATAATTTCAAATTATGTATGCTACTGAATGAGCCAACTTCTGACCCAGGAATATTTTACCATAAAGGGAAAAGAAATACACTGAATATAATTCAAGGATCACAATGATATTCACTCTATGTAAAATAATGCAAATTTCTGAGCCAATGCCCTATATTTAATAGCATGATTGTAAAAATAACCTTAGTAAAGCACTTAGGACACCAAGTATCATTTGTTCTGAGCAAGTATCAAGATTTCAAAACTAATGATATTAAACCAAATAGCAATTAATATTTAACATAAAATTCTATCTATTAGCACCAATCATTTCTTTCACACATCACTATGAATTACCGTATTAGGTATAGGGCACTAATTGCTTTCCTTCATTTAAACACCAATGTAAAATTTGGTAATAGTCAACAAACTATAGAAGACTCTGAAATTATGCTGGTCAGTAAAATATGCCCTGAAACCAATGGCCTAGAATCTTGTAATCAACAACAATGATATAAATCAACAGTGTTGCTAATACAATTGAAAAACCTGTAAAGATACTTGGGATGGTTTTCTTAGCTATTTTCTCAAATGCGAAAATAATTATCTTCTTAAATAAAAACTCATAGCCAGATATTTTGGGGGTGAAAGCTGAAAGATCAGAGAAGCAGAGCAGCAGACAGTCACTAGTTCTTACCTTTAAGAAATCCTGGACTGGACTCTCTGAACATGGCGAACTATGAGGGCTGATGAGACGCAAAAGACAATGGCACGGGGGTTTCATCCTACGTAATGTGATGGCTTTGTGGGAGCCCAGCCAGTTTGGATATTCACCTTCCTAGATATGGACGGAGGTGGGAGGTCCTAGGTCTTACCACAGGGCAGAAAACCCTGACTGCTCTTTGGACTGGAGAGGGAGGGGGAAAGGAGTGGGGGGAGAGGGAGAAGGGTGGGAGGAGGGGGCGTAGGGGGGGAGGAGGGGGAGGGAAATGGGAGGCTGGGAGGAGGTGGAAATTTGTTTTTTTTCTCCTTTTCTCAATAAAAAAAAAAAGAAATCCTCATACTGAGCACAGAAGCCTGTCTCTACAAGTCCTCAGATTGAATGCCTTTAGCTCCTGTCGCCTCCCTCCTTATATTTCTCTCCCCACCCAAGCATATCCCCTCTCATCTCTACTTCCCCAGTATTTGAATTAAAGGCATATGACTGCCGAGAACTGGGATTTAAGGTGTTTGCCACCACTCTTTGAGACTGGATTTATTTAGTGTAGCCCAAGGTGACATGGAACTCACAGAAATCCCTCTGCCTCTTCCTCCAGAGTTCTGGGATTTAATGTGTGTGACACCACCGCCTGACTTCTGAGGCTAACTAGTGGCTAGCTCCACACTCTGATCCTCAGGCAAGTTTTGTATGTTATAACACAAACAATATCTCACTGCATTACCTCTTTTTTGTCAGAAATAAAAAAGTTTATAACTAATAAAAAACTATATACAATAAGTACAATAACTATATACAATACAAACAGGCAATAAATAAATCAATAATGTCTTGCCCATAAACATTTGACAAATTCAGAGAAAATACCCCATTATCTATCCTAATTAGGTGAGTACAAAAGATAGTACCTAAGTCACTTTCTATTCTAACTTGCATTACCAAAACTATCTCTTAATGTCTCTGAATCCTATGTACTTTACAACTCTTTAGTAAATTTCTTTTCTGAATCTGGTGAGAAAGAAAACAATAACTATATTTAGTCCTCATCTGCCTCAGAGACATGTGAAGGAAAGAATATTAACTGTGTAAGCAGGAAATGCAAGTTTTCTTAACTCTATTCTTCCTCCAATAAGGAGAAATGTGTCCTAATTATTTTCTTAGTTATACCCTTGTGAAAATCTATCACAGTATTAACAGCTTCACTTTCATATGTTACAAGTGCCACCTCTACATACAGCAGGTATGAATAGTATCAGCAAAAAGTTGTCTTGTGTTGTGGACATTTGTCATGTCCTAAGTTTTCCTGTGTCCTCGTGGATAGACATACATCTGAGACACTCTACTTGCTGCCCTTTGTACATTGCTGATTTTGTGATCAAGAAAAATGGAAGCTCCTTTCTTTTCCTTCTATTACTTTTCAATGTGTCATACCATGTACATACCACATGCATACATATGAGAATCACTAATTACAATAAATGTATCTGAGGGATAAGCAAATAAATTATTATAGAAGGAGAATGTGTACTGAAATTTCAATTGTATTTTAATAAATAATGGTTGCCTGGAGATCAAAAAGTAAAACAATCAGTCTTACAGACCAGGCAGTGGTTATGCACACCTTCAATCAAGTAGCCTCACTAATTGCCATAGAAACTGGGAAGTGCATGTCTTTAATTATAGTTATGAATTCCTTTAATCCCAGCCCCAGAGAGGATTATAAAATGGGAGAAGACAGCTCTCAGACATAGTCTTATTCTGAGATTCGTGGAGGCAGGATCACCTGTTTGGACTGAGGTCGAGGGAAAAGCCAGTGGCTGGCTGTTTTGCTTTTCATATCTTTAGATTGAACCCCAGTTTCTCTCTCAGAGCTTTTCTTAATCATGCTTCAAGGAGGTGAAGTTTTAATAGAAGTTTGCCTAAGTGATGGTTTATATGACAAAGCACTATTGCATAAATGTATGAACATTCCAGAATAAATCAAATAAAAATTACAAAATAATAAAAGGTCCCATGTCAATTTTTGATTGACTGTACTTCAAAACTGTGATCCCCATGATGTGTCTGTAGGAGCTGATGATATTTAAGGATGTATATGATTGAGTACATAAGGATGATAACATTCAGACTTCTCTATGGCTACTGTCCAATCTTTGTCAAAAAATTCCATTATCATTAGTGTAAGCAGATAGTTCTTATGACTTCATGTTTCATAGAAACAATTATAAGAACTTAGCAATATAATGTCCTAAGACAAAATATTAATGTTTGTTTATATATAAATTGAAAATTAAGATTAAAATAATTTAATTAACTCTAATAATTGAAACATTAACATTTGAAGATTACAGTAATAATTACTAGAATAATGTAGTGAATATATAATGAATACTTACAAACATCAGCATCCATTTGAGTATATTCTTACATATATCAGCATCCATTTGAGTAGAGCTTAACTTTCTTATAAAAGAAGAGTGTAAGTATCTTTGACTTTATACTTAATGGAAAAGTTTATCCCATAGAAATATAGACAGGCCCCTTACCTTGCTTCATCTCAAATACTGGAGTGTCCAGAGAGGGAACTGTAAACAAATGTATTTGCCACACATTAGAAACAATGTGTACCTGAGAAGAGAATTAGATTAGAACATACAGTATGTGTGATTCTTGATGAAAGCAGAATGGAAAAAAAGAGGAAGTTACACTTATAGTTCCCTGTTCTCAGACTGTCAACTGTTACTAGGGAAGCTTTTCACCAAGACCCCACCCCAAATCCTGAATACAGATCCAATTAAAACTGAGAGCAAATGAATAACATGTTCCATACAGTAGAGTCTTGCTTCACATACAAACCATTCAATGCCCAGCAGTAGGTGGCACAAATACAGGGCCATTAGTGGCATTTTTGGAGGTTCTTTGTCTCATAATTCTTGTCAGCAATTCTTTATCCTCATATATCCTTTGCCTATATGTAATGGTTTACAATTTGGGGTGTTGTAAGGAGCCACCTGTTTGTTTCTCAGCTGCCCAGCCCCAAAATAATCACACAGAAACTATTCTTTAAATCAGTGCTTGGCCCAGTAGCTCTAGCTTCTTATTGGCTAACTCTTACATCTTCATTTAACCCATCTCCATTAATCTGTGCATCACCACAAGGTCGTGGTCTAACAGTAAAGTTTAAGTGTGTCCATCTCCAGCAGCAGCTTCGTGGCTTCTATCTAACTCAGCCTCCTTTCTCCAAGCATTCAGGTTATTTTTCTCCACCTAGCTCTGTCCTACCCTAACAGGTCAAGCCTGGTTCTTTAACCAATGGTATTCATAGCATACAATGTGAATCACCTCCCCTTTTCTATTTAAATAAAAAAGAAGGTTTTAATTTTAACATAGTAAAATTAAATGTAACAAAACCGTTATCAAGCAAGATTACAGTTAAAATATTTATATCTATTTTATTTTTTATGATTACTAAGGAAATCTATAATTATAACTATAACTTGATTTAAACTTCATCAAAGACTCCAGATGAATATAATATTTACTAAGTAAACAGGAAGTACATTATAAGCAACTTCAAAACCTCTAGAATTGATACAGACATCCTGTTGTCTAGACAGTCTCCCAAGGTTCTTCTGTACTGCTTGGGCATACATCTTCAGCCTACAGGCCCTTAGTATCCAGCAAACTTTTCCACAAATCAAGAAATTTCAAAGACAGTTCCACCTATATTGGCAGTTTGTTAGTCACATTTTTCTGTGTCCTGCAGAATTTCTAGCAGACTCTTTCATAAAGAGGGAACCATGAAGGACAGTCTCACCTTTAGGTAATTTCAGCAGTCATTTCTTTCTGGTTCGTGTATGTCCAGTTCATCTCAAAGCCCAGGAAGAGCAGTTTCTTGAGCAAATGGCTAGCAAACTCCATAAGTAGTCACTTCAATGTCCATCTTCCTTTTGATGTAATTCATACTGCCAGGAGTTGAGGTGTCTCACTGTCATTAAAAGTCCTAAGTTCTTAAAAAAATTAAATGCCATATACTCTAGTCTTTCAAAGGTTTGAAGAACGTCTAACTGAATTAAATCTCTATATATCTAGAAATCCTAGCTAACATGACTACAAGCTTGACTATTATAGATGATTATCTAGAACCTGAATTTATTAATTATGAGCAGAAATAAAGAAGCTAAGTAAGAAGAATCTTCATCTGGTGATGGATGGAGACAGAGACAGAGACCCACACTGGAGCACTGGACTGAGCTCCCAAGGTCCCGATGGGGAGCAGAAGGAGGGAGAACATGAGCAAAGAAGTCGGGACCACAAGGGGAACACCCACCCACTGAGACAGTGGAGCTGATCTATTGGGAGCTCACCAAGGCCAGCTGGACTGTGACTGAAAAAGCATGGGATAAAACTGGACTCTCTGAGCATGGCGAACAAGGAGGGCTGATGAGAAGCCAAGGACAATGGCACGGGGTTTTGAACCTACATAATGTGCTGGCTTTGTGGGAGCCTAGCCAGTTTGGATGTTCACCTTCCTAGGAATGGACGGAGAGGGGAGGACCTAGGACTTACCACAGGGCAGGGAAGCCTGACTGCTCTTTGGACTGGAGAGGGAGGGGGAGAGGAGTGGGGGGAGGGGGAGAAGGGAGGGAGGAGGGGGAGGGAAATGGGAGGCTGGGAGGAGGAGGAAATTTGTTTTTTTTTCTTTTCTCAATAAAAAAAGTTTAAAAAAAGAAATATATATATATTTCTTATTAAGTTATATTAATATATATCATGTATATTAGCTTATAAAAATGCTAAACCCCACTTATGAACTTATACCGTGCCATTACTGGGGAAATACGGCACTGCCTGATTTCCCTGCCCAGTCCAACATGGTGGAGGAGGTCCATTGACTGCCTCTGGGCTGCACACACCCCAGTTCCAAGTATTCAGCAGATCTATGTTGTGCCATTAAGCAGGTTGCAGTACTCTGCTCACAAAACCCATCAAATACTCCAAAGCCAGACCTTGTTAGTTTGTACTTGCATCATGGCCCAAGAGGCCACCATTTCAAAATGACATGGCTTTTCTTCTGCTATCACTGAATCAGGAAGTTCTCTCGTAAAGGATCTGCAGCACTATGCCAGTAAAACGCTAGGTACCAAGAAACCATACCTAACTTTATTCTTTTGTGTCTAAATTACTTTTTAAACTTTTCCAGGTTTTACATAAATGCGGTCGAATAGGTTGTCATACCAATTTGTGGTAAGAACTGCCTGTTTGTTTCCCAGCTTTTCAGCCTAAAAATAATCACACAGAAACTTTATTATTTAAATCACTGCTTGGCCCATAGCATTATTTTCTTATTGGCTAACATTTACATCTTAATTTAACCCATTGCCATTAATCTGTGCATCACCCTGAGGTCGTGGTCTAACAGTAAAGTTTCAGTGAATTTGTCTCTGGCAGCAGCTCCATGGCTTCTCTCCAACTCAGCCCCCTTTCTCCCAGCATTCAGTTTATTGTTCCCCACCTAGATCTGTTCTACCTTGTCAGGCCAAGCCAGTTTCTTTATTAACCAATGGTATTTGCAGCATACTGAGGGGAATCCAACATCATTTGTAGTTTTGTGGCATATATGTTTGTGTGAACATATGTGTCTTTGCATCTGTGTACTTCTCCTTTTCTTTGGCTATTATTCTTATATTTGTTTCTTTTGTGCGATTTGGATGTTTTTATTTTTATTACTATTGATATTATCATTATTATTGATATTTTACTATTATTATCATTGCTATTATTATTAAATGCCTGAGTATATTCAATTGAAAGAAAGAATGAAAGACAGAGAGAGAAAGAGAGAGAGAGAGAAAGAGGGAGAGAGAGAGAGAGAGAGAGAGAGAGAAACAGACAGACAGAGTATAGATTTGGACTAGTGGGAATGTGAGAAAGGAGTAGGAGGACAGGAAACAGAAAACCATAGTAATTATATATTGTGTGGAACAAAAAACTATCTTCAATGAAAAGACTTCATGCAAATAAAACATATTGTCAGCAAATGTTTCAGCTATGAGCTCTCAGAGTTTCAGTTTGCCAAATAAGAAATGTACTTGAAGAAAATTATTCACACAGTAGGTCTATGAAGGGAGTGTAAGGAGCAGCAGGTCTCCTGTCATGGTTAGATACCGAAGGCTGAGATGAATGGCATGCATTACAGATAAAGCCAAAAACCAAAGCTGAATGAGAATGATGCATCTTAAACGGGATGCTGCTGCTTACTTCCTGCAGAGGAAAAAGGAGCAGGTTGACTCAGGCTGCATGTGAGAAATTTTAGCAAGTACCTGCCTATGCTGGATTTCAAAGGAATCTCTCTTCTGGCAGGTTTCAGGAGCAATCCTCCTTCACTGACTAGTAGGTTATAGTCAGGTCCTGGCTAGAACCAGGAACCAGCTGAGAGCTGGTCTCCAGCCAGGAGCCTGACTGACAAAAACCCTTTGTGTAAAGACAAATATTATCTCTGGTTGCCTCTGATTGGCTGAGTGTGTGCAATCATCTAGAGAATAGATTTGGACCATTCAAGAGGCAGATCTCAAAGCTAGCAATGGAAATCAAGGGCCTGCTGTAACTATGGAGATTTCGTTCTGAGCTGCTATTGCATGTCTGCCCCCCCCCCCCGTTGTTACCACAGAAACAGGGAAACTGAAACAAGAAAGACAGAAAAAATGTAACTTAACATGAAATCTGGCTCCATGTGACAACCAAGGAAAACAATCAGTGTTTCCTGGAGCGTGAGCATGTACCTGGCTCCTTGGGAATAGATACTGGCTTCCTATAAGAAGGCCTGCATTTCTATATGAGCCCTTCTCAATTTGATTCTGGGCAGCCAAGTGCAGGTTGCTGCTGAATATTTGCCATCTTTCTACGTCAGTTTTCATAACTGCTGTGAATATACACATGAGCCATAACACGGAATTGGGACTATTAGATTGACTTACAAAGGATGATTAGATTAAAGAAAAAAATGGGAGTTCTACCCCTGGTCAAGCAATATACCCTATGAGCATGGAAGGTCTTGAACTTTCAATGGTCAAGAAATAATTTAAGATGAATTACAAAAAAAAAAAAAAAAAACAACTTTAAATTTTTTTTGCATGTTTGTGTGTTTACGTATGTGTGTATCTAGGTGTGTATGTGTCCACATGCAATTATGAAATGATGAATGAGCTCAGAGAGAGTGCAGAAAGGAAACATACAGAAGTGAACTCAACTGTTTTCTCTGATACCTTCATTTCTTTAGGATGTCTTATTCAATAGAAGTATATTGTTATTTTGTGTTTCTGAATCCCACCATCCATAACATAATTTTAAATCCTTCCCTACATCTAACATCACTATTGTGTCATAACTTAAAGAACTCTATTTTCTTTGTGTGTATGTATTTATGTGTGTCTGTTTCTGTGTTTATCTGTGAGTGCTTATACTTATGTGTGTGTATGCATTTGTGTATGCTACTGTGTGACTGCTTTCTTATTCTTATTTTTGTGATTATAATTTAATTACAACATATAATCCTTCCAAACTTCAATCCCTGAGCACTACACAGAGACTTCCCTTGTTCTCCTTCTCTTACTACCACTGGGGATGCTAATGAGCCTGGAAGTCAGGAGGCCCTCAGGCTGTCATTTGTTCACTCTTCATATCCACCTTTCTCTCATTCACTCCCCTTTCTTTTGCTCAGACAGTCTCCAAATGTAAGGCCTTCTCCATGCAAATAGACCATGCATCTAACACTTCCAAAAATTCTGGGACATGGTAACTCATGGGAACTAATTTGGATACAGCCTGCTTATGTCTTGAGGATCCTTGAGTCTCATCTTTGAACTTGCACTGATAATTGTGCAGGGAAGTTTCCATGAGCTCTGTGGTCTTCAAACTCCTAAAACGTGCAGACACCCTACTATCTAGCAAACACATTTTGGATATGAAATAACCCTGTGATAGGATAGTTTTTGACCCCTGATTTTACATTGATTCTGTAACTATCGTGTATTCTGTTACACATTTTGACCTTTCTAGAAGAAAATTTAAAAGAAAAAATAAAATCCTTCTGATACCTTTCCAGAACTCAGCCTCAATTTATTCTACTGTACAATGAACAATATCCACTGCTGAGCTGAATTTGAGACTTTCTATTTTAATATTTAAACTGATGGAGACTATTTCATATGATGGAATGGGAAAGATTCTTCCCCTTTGTAATTAACAAGTCTTCTTAATGTTTGCCATCCCTCACTATTCAGTTCACTTTTGCTACCATGACCAAAGCCTGAACTTTATTAACTCCTTTTTTACTTCTCAAAGGGTCTTTTGTGGCACATGGGGAGTAAGGAATGAAAACAAGATACTGTCTCAGATTAAAAACCATTCTCAAAATGGCAAAGAATGGCTGTAGGAACATAGAAATAGGAGCTACAAAATGTAAATTGGGCAGTCACTCCTACTTCTCTACCCCTGCTGAGACACAAGAATACCCAGTAGCCTTGCCATCCAGTGTGTTCAGGATCTTACCTCAGAAAACACACAGAAAGAAAGGTGAAAGGCACATTTTTCAAAGCAATACAAGTGATTGGTTTGGTTTTTCAATGTTTTTATATATGGAGAAATTCTCTTGTTTTCATGAATTGTAAAGGAATTTGGAGATAGACATACACTAGGTTCTGCCCTTTCTAATGGGTCTCTTAGCCTGTTGGCCATTACTGGAAAGAATAGTCTTTATGTTCTTAAGAATTCTTTGCCTTCTACTTAATGTCTGCCATGATTTCTGCTCAAAAGTCCAGATATCCTTTCTTTCATTTTTTTCCCTTGTTGAGCACTGGGTTCAGGCTTGCAGAAATTTAGATATCTTTTGGATGTATAAAATATTATAAAAG